ATATACGTATTTAAGATTTTATTGGCTTTTTTATGTTGTTGTGGTTTGGAGTTCAAAGGGTGTGTGCTATAAGGTGTTTCACATAATTGAATTGACTGATCCTAAATGACCGGATAATAGACAAGAATGTAGGATAAACTACACACTAGGCAGGCTAGGCTATAGACTAGACCATAGGCTAGACTACAGAGTAGACTACAGACTAGACTATATAGTACTCTATAGGCTAGACTATAGACTACTCTATACGCTAGACTATAGACTACTCTATAGGCTAGACTATAGACTACTCTATAGGCTAGACTATAGACTACCCTATAGGCTAGACTATAGACTACTCTATAGGCTAAACTTTAAACTAGACTATAAGCTAGACTATAGACTAGACTATAGACTACACTATAGATTGGAATATAGCTTTGCCTATGTACTGGAATATAGACTGGAGAATGGCATTGACTATAGACTAGACTATAAACTAGAATATAAAGTAAACAATATACTACACTGAGGCTAGACGATATACTAGACTATAGACTAGGCAGTATACTAGACTATAGACTGGACTCTATAATAGACTGAGGGTCGACGATATACTAGACTCTATAGTAGACTGAGGCTAGACGATATACTAGACTATAGACTAGACTATAGACTATACTATAGACTATACTATAGACTAGACTATAGACTAGACTATAGACTAGACTATAGACTAGACTATAGACTAGACTATAGACTAGACTATAGACTAGACTATAGACTAGACTATAGACTAGACTATAGACTAGACTATAGACTAGACTATAGACTAGACTATAGACTAGACTATTGACTAGATTATAGGCTAGACTATAGACTTGACTATAGACTAGACTATAGACTTGACTATAGACTAGACTATAGACTAGACTATAGACTAGACTATAGACTAGACTATAGACTAGACTATAGACTAGACTATAGACTAGACTATAGACTTGACTATAGACTAGACTATAGACTAGACTATAGAATAGACTATAGACTAGACTAGACTATAGACTAGAATATAGACTAGACTATAGACTAGACTATAGACTAGACTATAGAATAGACTAGACTATAGACTAGACTATAGACTAGACTATAGACTAGACTATAGACTAGACTATAGACTAGACTATAGACTAGACTATAGACTAGACTATAGACTAGACTATAGTCTAGACTAAAGACTATAGACTAGACTATAGACTAGACTATAGACTAGACTATAGACTAGACTATAGACTAGACTATAACCTAGACTATAACCTAGACTATAGACTAGACTATAGACTAGACTATAGGCTAGACTATAGACTAGACTATAGACTAGACTATAGACTAGACTAGACTATGGACTAGACTATAGACTAGACTATAGACTAGACTATGGACTAGACTATAGACTAGACTATGGACTAGACTATAGACTAGACTATAGACTAGACTATAGACTAGACTATAGACTAGACTATAGATTAGACTATAGAATAGACTATATGATAGAATATAGAATAGACTATAGAATAGATTATAGACTAGACTATAGCCTAGTTCATAGTCTATTAAGTAGGCTATTATCATGAATATAGTCTGCGGTATAGTCAAGACCGTTACAATTGTATTTACTGTAATACAATAATTTTTTTGAGTAGACTTTAATTAGATTAGCAAAAAGACAGAAAAAGTCAAAAATAAACAGAATAAAACTAAAAGTGATTTGATTACATTTTCTCTAAACAATGTCGAGGTCAATTAATCAAAGTTTTACAGTTTTTTTTTTGTAACGAAATGAAAACAAAACTATTTTGTATATAAAAATCAATTAAATTTCTATTTACATAAAAAGCAACAATTTTTATTGTTTTGAAAATAAAAAAAATCTTCTTTCTACTAAAAAAATGCGTTCTAAATTTTATGCTGAAAAAAAAAGAAATACACACAGGCCTCACGAATTCGTCATGATGAGTCAACGAACCTCAAAAGAGTACACAACAGACACTATAGGCAACTAAATACAATCTAACTATAACATAAAATTTGTTTATTTTTCTTTTACATTTTAGCAGCAGCCTCTTTTTTTTTTTTTTTTTTTTGAAAATAGATTTTTTTTTTTTTAATTTACAGAATACAAGTGTGTTTAAGGCTGCGTATGCCACGCAATTATTTGTGAATTAAAAAAAGAAATGAACACAACGCCACGAACAAAAATCTTAGACACTCATTCTAGTTTTCGAAAATGATTTTTAGATTCGAAAAACATTTGGCAACATTTGCCAAACAGCAAATGAGGAGCAAGTTTTATTAAAGATTTTCTTTTTTTTTACTTTTAACGAAATGAGAAATGAGCAAAAGTTTCAAATTGATATAGAACTTTTTAAAAATAGACATGATCATTAAGTAGGTATGAAATGATTTTTTTTTTATTTTCAGGAAATCTTACAAAATTTATTAAACAAAAATTAAATTTTTTCAAAATATTTAGGGAAAAATGAGCACAATATTTTAAGATTTTGATTAGAATATTGAAAATTTGTTAAATTTTTTATAATTCGCATTATGTCATTATGTTTTGCTATCAAAAATTTGAGATTTATAATTCACACTTATTATTTTAATAATACCTTAAAACATAATTCCTATAATTATAGCCATAATTTTCTGACAAACAATCCCCGATAAACTTTTAAACATCATTATTAACGTACCAAATCACCATTAACTTTGACCTTTTGCATACGAAAATTTTTCATGTCAGATTATACCCCCACAATCATCGTTTGATACAAACAATTATTTGATTATATTTTTCATATTCTAAACCAGAAAATCAACATATTGCCGAATGAATGAATAAATAAATAATAAGATAATTGCAATAATATCGTAGTCGTCGTTCTTTCTTATATACAATGATGCTGCAACATTGATGCTGATGCCATTGACTATAATCTCTGCACACACGCAGTAATTGCAGACAGACGGACGGACATAAAAAAATGCGTGGCTTCAAACTATATAATGACGAACGCAGACGACAATTGTAAGACTGTTTTAGAGAACCTCATATAATGATATTTTTTTATAATGTATTTTTTTCACTTGTAAATTATGATGATGTTGCTGATGACTCCTCTGTTGTAAATACTATGCTAAGCCTAAGTCTAACCCATTATTCTTTATTATTCATATTACGAGTATTTGTAATGTTACATAAACATGTGGGTTGTGTCTTGTTTAGTGTGTATAATTTGAGTTTGTAACAAAGTGACTAAAAGAAATTAAAGCAATAAATCTGTTTGCCTGAAAAAAAAAACAGAAATAATAGAGAGTTTTTTAGTTTCGTACAACAGATTTCAACTAATAGAGGTATTAATGGACCCATAACATTGTGTATTAACTTATTTTCAAGATTTTTTATTTTATATGGTCTTTTACAGAATTACAAAGGTCAGATTTCGACAGAGCATTGCCAAAATGGTCGGGCTTCAGAGTTCTAGTTCAGTTCTAGTTTAGTTCTAGTTCAGTTCTAGTTCAGTTCTAGTTCAGTTCTAGTTCAGTTCTAGTTCAGTTCTAGTTCAGTTCTAGTTCAGTTCTAGTTCAGTTCTCAGTTCTAGTTCAGTTCTAGTTCAGTTCTAGTTCAGTTCTAGTTCAGTTCTAGTTCAGTTCTAGTTCAGTTCTAGTTCAGTTCTAGTTCAGTTCTAGTTCAGTTCTGGTTCAGTTCTTGTTCAGTTCTAGTTCAGTTCTAGTTCAGTTCTAGTTCAGTTCTAGTTCAGTTCTAGTTCAGTTCTAGTTCAGTTCTAGTTCAGTTCTAGTTCAGTTCTAGTTCAGTTCTAGTTCAGTTCTAGTTCAGTTCTAGTTCAGTTCTAGTTCAGTTCTAGTTCAGTTCTAGTTCAGTTCTAGTTCAGTTCTAGTTCAGTTCTAGTTCAGTTCTACTTCAGTTCTAGTTCAGTTCTAGTTCAGTTCTAGTTCAGTTCTAGTTCAGTTCTAGTTCAGTTCTAGTTCAGTTCTAGTTCAGTTCTAGTTCAGTTCTAGTTCAGTTCTAGTTCAGTTCTAGTTCAGTTCTAGTTCAGTTCTAGTTCAGTTCTAGTTCAGTTCTAGTTCAGTTCAGTTCTAGTTCAGTTCTAGTTCAGTTCTAGTTCAGTTCTAGTTCAGTTCTAGTTCAGTTCTAGTTCAGTTCTAGTTCAGTTCTAGTTCAGTTCTAGTTCAGTTCTAGTTCAGTTCTAGTTCAGTTCTAGTTCAGTTCTAGTGCAGTTCTAGTTCAGTTCTAGTTCAGTTCTAGTTCAGTTCTAGTTCAGTTCTAGTTCAGTTCTAGTTCTGTTCTAGTTCTGTTCTAGTTCTGTTCTAGTTCTGTTCTAGTTCTGTTCTAGTTCTGTTCTAGTTCAGTTCTAATTCAGTTCTAGTTCAGTTCTATTACAGTTCTAGTTCAATTCTAATTCAGTTCTAGTTCGGTTCTAGTTCGGTTCTAGTTCATTATTGTACATAACTTTTTTGGACTAATAAAATCTTGAGGAAATTTTTAAAATCTTTTTCTTAAAATTTATTATATATTTTAATCCTAAAACTGAAAGTTTCCTGTAAATTTTAATCTCACTTATTTTAATCTCGTTTTATTTTATAATCATAAAGTTCGTTCCACTTTCTATCGTTTCACTGTTATTTGCAACACTTTTCTACGTGCCACCAAACCATTCTACAGATTTTCAATACTTTTGGCTTTGGATTATATTTTTATTTCTTTAAATTTCTTAAATTTAATGTAAATTTTATTGTGTTTAAGCAAATAAAAGAGAAACCAAAACGACGACTATTATTATTATTATATATTATTATTATTATATATTATTATTTTTTATGCATTAATTTTCACTTTTTGCCAAAACAACAATTGCAGTCATAATAAAAGCAGCAGCAGCAATAAAGTGAAGAAAAAAAAAAAACTAATAATTTTTTTCTATTTTTGATTTTTTCAGGTGTTATACCATGAAATAGTATCACACGCTCGAGTAGTAAGTGCCTGTATAAGAGCTGCATCTGAAAAGGAACAACAGAAAAAGCAGCAGCTACAGCAACAACAACAATTACAGCACGATTCATATAATACAGATGCTAGTTTAATTGCGGAACAAACTAATTCCTCACTTTCATCAACAGACGATACAACGACAACAACAGCAACAACTGCTACTAATACCACCAACACTACAACTGCAACAACATCAGGTGTTGTTTGTTCGGATCATCTAATTAGTCCTAATTCGGCAGCAGCTGCAGCCACATCGGTAGCATCAGGTCATACCTCGAAAAAATCGGATAACAATAATTTAGATCGTTTACAAAATCGTTATCATTTGTTGTATTTAAAAGCTTTCGAAGTACAACTTTGGTTGGATGGTTTGCTGCGCAAGAAAAGTTCTTCGGTGGTAAGTGTTTGAAACTCTTTTGTTTAATATTATGTATTTAAGATAGTTGTTAAGACTTGATATATGTATATGAAAATCGACATTATGGTCCTTCGGGTTCAAATAATTGAGGTAAATAAGCTTTTTAATTTATTGTTTCGAAAGCTCTGAATAATATTTGGATTTAAAATCCTCTTTTTTGAAAATAATGATCCTTTATTTTCAAAATACCAAGTTAAGGGAGCTTTGATGAGTTTTTTTTAACGATTCTGAATTGGAGCTGATAATCTCAATTCAGACTGATTATCTTGTCGATAATATTGATCCTTCTCATCTGACTATTCGCTTCTGATCCGCCAAGGAATACTAAAAGTTTTTGGTGGGGAAGAGTTCAGTATGATTTGAATCTGCAGCCCCAATAGCAACAGATCTGTTTTGAAGATGCTGAAGCTTTTTCGCTTCCCTGGCTTTCTTGTAACGAAATGTATGACCCTAAGGAAAGACCTCTCAGTAAAAACGATCTCGATTTTTCTCCTCCTGCTGATAAAAGTAACCAACTCCAACTGAGTGTTGGCTCAATTCAAGGTCATAGCTTTTAGCATTCCTTAACACATCGTGCCTAATCCTAATGATCAAAATTGAAACCAGTTCGACATTGAATTGGTTTGTGGAACCGATTAAAACAATGTTTTTGAGTTATTTTAATGATTCTGAAAAAGCTTTAAAATGAAAAAAAAAACTCCGCATTTTCAGGTCAATAAGATTTAGATCTGCAGACTTTGTATCAGCAGATCCACTTTGATCAAAACGGAATCTTTTCATCTCTACTTGACTGTTCGCTCGCAGTGAACTACCACGTTTACCAGATTCACCTTGAAGCTTTTTCGCTTCCCTAACCTTCCTATGACGAAGTTTTCTTATAATTTTTTTTTTCAAGCAGATCTGTCAAGACGCCAAAGAGAATCCTTCGGATCAAAACGATCTTAATCTTTCTATTGCTAAGAGTTGATTCACAGTCGTTACTTTCAGTGATCCTAAGGAACAACTCATTCAAAAACTACAATCTTAATTTGATCATTTTATTCCCGATCTATTGGCTTAATTCCTTATGGAACCTAGGAAGATCATTTGACGAGAGCGCTCTCACAAAAAAATGAGAGAATTCTAAGGACGAATTCAATTTATTCAAACATTTTAATATTTAGTGAAAAAATGATTATAATTGCTTTCTGTGAAAAGCTCTGGAAAAGCTTTAAATTAAAAATCAATTAGTTCTACAAGTTTTTAAACTGATTATTATATAACTCCGAAAAAAGCTTAATATTATGGTCCTTCAGCATCAAACTAAATTTAAAACTCTCTTTCTTCGAAACTTAAAAAAAGCTCTTGTTTCAAAATAACAATGTTTAACATTAAGAAATGGGTTTAAAAAGCTTTAAATTGAAATGAAAATCCTGCTATTTTTTATAATATCTCACTTATGGTCCTTCGGAATTTAACTGTAAAAAAGCTTGTTATTATGATCTGTCAGCTTCAAACTAAACTTAAAACTCTCTTGCTTCAAAACTTAAAACAGCTTTTGCTTCGAAATAACAAAAATGAACTCTCTTGCTACAAAAAGATTTTGCTTCGAAATAAAGTTTAACATTTAGAAATGACTTTAAAAAAGCTTTAAAGTGAAATGAAAATCCTGGTATTTTCTTAATAACTCACTCATGGTCCTTCGTAATTAAACTGTATAAAAGCTTGATATTATGCTCTTTCAGCTTCAAACATAACCTAAAAATCTCTTGCTGTGGAACATAAAAAAAGCTTTTACTTCGAAATAACAAAATTTAACATTTAGAAGTGACTTTAAAAAAAAGCTTTAAAGTGAAATGAAAGTCCTGGTATTTTCTTAATAACTCACTTATGATCCTTGGGATTTAAACAGTAAACTTTAAAAACCTAAAAATCTCTTGCTGCGGAACATAAAAAAAGCTTTTGCTTCGAAATAACAAAATTTAACATTTAGAAGTGACTTTAAAAAAAAGCTTTAAAGTGAAATGAAAGTCCTGGTATTTTCTTAATAACTCACTTATGATCCTTGGGATTTAAACAGTAAACTTTAAAAAGCTTTTAATTGAAAATTTCTCTCTGTCTATTTAAGCATCTTCTAAAACAAGCTGTCAAATCTATTTTTAAATAATTTTGAAACAAAAATAATTGAAAAAACTAAACATTTTTACCTGTATAATAATAATTATCACTAAATATCCAATTTCCTTTTTTTGTGACAATCTATTTAAAATGAACAATTTCCCTAAATTTCGGTTGAAAAGTAACACAACACAACCATTTGTTTCTACAACCCAAACACTCATCCGTCATTCGTTCATTCATTCACTCTACTTCTTTTCATATGAAAACATTGCTGCATGCTGTGTTTTCTTAACAGGGGGACACTTCATTTAGTATGCAATAATATTTTATTATTGTATTTTTCTTCATTATTTTCTTCATTTATCTAGTTCAATGTCTCTTTGCAACTTCATTGTCACCTATTGTGGCATTGACTACTAACGAGTATATACTATGATGGCGTTTTGTGGAAATAATGACTGAATTAGTGAGTGAGTGTTTGTCTTTTTTCTATTGATTTTTATTTTCTTTTAGAAAATAAATAAAATAAAATTTATTTAGTTTTTTTTTTTCTTTTTGTTTTGTGTGGCATGTTTCAAGTTCAAGTTTGTAATTTATCTCCCTATATGTCGATTTTATGTGTGTTCGCGCCAGTTTAAATTTTTTTTCTTCTGTTTTTTTTTTTTTATCTTTTTCCAAAGGCAGTTTGTTATTTCAAGAGCTTTTTGTTGGCTGTTTAAATAGACTTTTCTTTAGAAAATGTGTGTGTCTGTGTGTGTTGGGAGGAATTTAAAATTTTGAAGGCCAACCATTTCAAGTGGCATGTTTTTTTTTTTTTGGTTTGTAATATCTTAATATATTGAAAATAAAAAAATTTTTGAATGAAATTTTGTTTGGCAGATTTTGATGTAAATGTTATATAGTATCATAATTCTAAATTAAGAATGAATTAGAAGACATTTGCTTTTTATGGTCCTTCGTTGCAACAAATATTGTACTTTTTAATAATAATGGTCCTTCGGTCTAACAATATTTTGTATTCATACATTCTTGATCCCTTTAGAATTAAGTCGAAAGCTGTTTTCTTCTATTGGTATTCGGTTTAGATTACTTTCAGTTTTCTTTAAGTTTCTTGAGACTTTGATTGAATTTGTTAATTCATTTAAAGAGATACTAAAGCAGACTCGCAAATCCAGATGGCGCTGATTCAGTTTTGTTTAAGTTTCTTGAGACTTTGATCGAATTTGTTAATTCCTGATATATTTTCCAATATATTTTACCAAAGTGTAGGTTGATCTAAGCTCTTAATGTATAGTGAATCCAACAGAATCTTCCGAAAAGTTTTTAAGCAGATATCCGAAGCTTTTGAAGCAAGCGATTGCCTGAATAAAGATCTGTAGCAGATCTCTCTCACTTTGTTCTCTGTAATCAGGATATCAATTTATTCGAAGAGATACTAAAGCAGCTTCTCCAATCCAGAATGCACTGCTTTAGCCAAAAGGTTCGCTCCAGACTCCAAATTTGAAAGAATCTGTAGAAGGATTATAGACATTCTGAATCGAATGATGTCGTTAGAATTTTTAATATAAGATTTATTTAATAGTCATATCGATTCTTCTTCAGCTAATCAAACTGAATGGATCTAATACTCTAATTTCAGAGTAGATTTCAGAAGAATTGTTGCCAACCTGATTCAATAGTCATTGAAGTCGTTAGAGCTTCGAATTTAGGTCGATTTAATAGTCGATGATCTAGGTCAAAATAAAATATTCTTATACTCTAAGTTGAAACTTTAAGTTGTTTTAAAAATACTTTTAGATTTCGATCTACAATCTCAATGTCTGCAGATGTATTTTAAAACATTGCTTTGATAAATCAGATCTTCCAACCACGAAGCTTTATTATAAATTTAAATCTAAAACACATCAAAAAAAAAAGATCACCCAAATCAAAACGATTTCCATGTTTCTCCTGTGGATCAAAGGTTAAATCAATCCACTTGGGAGTCGGTTCAATTCATACTTTCAGCATTTTCAAAAGGAAAATCATTCAATATCTGTAATATTAATTTGACTTAAGATTCTAAGTCTATTGAAGGCATTGTTGTGCCAGGACTTTTGTGAAAGTAAGATCAAAAAGATTTAGATCTCTTCTCGTTTTCAATGCTTTGAGCCCCCCACAATGAAATATTATTATAAAACTTGAGTCGCTTTTCATGCACAATCCAATTGGGAGTCTTAGTTTCGAGATTCCTAGGTGTGCAATAATAATTTCTTTTGGGATTTTTACACGTCCAGGGAAGGCAACCATTCTCCTGCCGATTACAATTAAGAGCCCATCTGATTTGGATTCTTTATGAAACTTGAGGTCCTTTTCATGCACTTTTTAAGAGAAACCTCCCCATTAAAACGATCTCGATACAATAGGGAGTTGGTTCAGTACAGAGTCAATAGTTTTAGCATTCCTAAGCGACAAATTATTCGAATAATTTTGTTTGGGATTGCAATCATTTTTCTGTCGATCAAAATTAGAGCTTTTTAGTGAAAAATTGGATTTTTAGTGAAAAATTGATTTTTGAACGAAAAATTTAATTTTCAGTGAAAATTTGGATTTTTACTGAAAAATTAAATTTTTTGTGAAAAATTGGATTTTTACTAAAAAATTGTATTTTTAGTGAAAAATTTTGTTTTTTGTGAAAAATTTTGTTTTTTGTGAAAAATTGTATTTTTAGTGAAAAAAAAATTGGATTGGATTTTTACTGAAAAATTGAATTTTTTGTGAAAAATTGGATTTTTACTGAGAAATTTAATTTTTGTGAAAAAATTGATTTTTGGTGAAAAATTGTATTTTTAGTGTAAAATTGGATTTCTAGTAAAAAATTGGATTTTTGGTAAAAAATT